ACCTGAAGGACCAGATACCCTATAGAATCATTCTATCACCCTATTAGAGACCTGAAGGACCAGATACCCTATAGAATCATTCTATCACTCTTTAATCTGGTCAGTAAATCATCTATGTGCTGCTATTACGTTTCTTCATGCTTATATATCTTAAGCAGAGCTTCTGCAGATCATAGCCTATTTATTTAAACCCAGATTCTGCCTCTGATATTTACCCCCCCCCCCTTTTTTTAGTTGAAAGAATGAATATAAAGAGATAAAAACATGAAAAATAGAAGCTGGTGTGAAAAAACAACTGATCCTTTTCCTCGTGCCTTATGTGATGTCACTGGAGGATGTTTGTGTGGAAGCTTGTGATAAATCATCCTGATTAAATAACAACAAATAGCAAACCAAACAGAGAAAACTGTTGTGGTGTTGAGGGGAAGACTATATCTAAAGTGAGTCTCATTGATTTGGCAGATAGGTCTGGCTGGGAGCTTTAAACATTTCATAATTTTTGATAAAAACAAGTCTTCATCAATACAAGAGGAAATGATGTCACTGCTTGTTTGCTTTCTGCCTCAGTTGAGTTTCTGGAAACGTTCATTAATCGATCCGACTCTGTTTGCTCTGCCTTCGTTCAGCGATACGTGGATGGAGGAATCTCAGACAACCTTCCGCAGTACGAGCTGAAAAACACCATCACGGTGTCTCCCTTTTCTGGAGAGAGCGACATCTGCCCTCGAGACACTTCCACCAACATCCACGAGCTGCGCTTCACCAACACAAGCATCCAGTTCACCCTCACCAACCTTTACAGAGTCTCTAGGGCTCTCTTTCCACCTGATCCAATGGTAGGACTCACCCTCACTAACGCCACATTCAGGGATTTGGGCCTTTTTTAAATGCTCAGCATGCTGGGCTTCACTGAAACATGAGAGATGATTAATAAGGATGTGTGTTTGAATGCAGGTTATGAAGGCCATGTGCAAGCAGGGATATAAGGATGCTCTGCATTTTTTAAAGAGAAATGGTAAGTTTCTTTCTTTATTCTGCAGAAAACCTCAAAGCTCTTTTTAATAAATCCCACTAAAATCTAGCCTCATTGATTTTCTTATTTTTTGCTTTAAGACGATAAAAGTTTGGTTTGTAAACAGCGTTTCATGCAGATACTCTATCAGAGGGTGTGCTTCCTGTTACCGTGTCAGCAGATCAATAGGAAGCTCTTGCTCCACTCACTCTCTGTAGATATTAATGTGCAAACAAACCAACATGGTTTCAGGATACTTTGATTAATATAAGGTGTTTTCTTTTTTAAGTAAAAAATTTAACTGAGATTAGATGACCCTGTATGGATGGATGAACAAGCAGACCCAATGTTTATTTTCTTTTTCTTTATTTTCAGGATTGCTTAATTATACAGGGCCTCAATCGGACAGACAATTGCTGGTCAACAGAGAGGAAAATAAGGCCGGCGATGAAAGGAGAGAAGAGAAAAACCGAGAGGCGGAGCCACAGGTGGAGGCCAAAGCTCTGCTGCATGCCAGCTCCTCGCTAGATGATCACATCATGGAGTATCTTCCACCCGCTGTGCACAAAGGTGAGGAGCATTAAAGGACTGACCTCGGCTATAGAGAACCATACATGCAGCAGTAGCCATTCAACATTCACCCACTTTCCTTCGCCGGCAGAAAAAAGTCTCTAGATTTGGCGCTAGGAGCTTTTTAGAAATCAAAGTGCTAGAGGGGTCTGAAAAGTGGCTAAATATAGCGACTAAAGCGCTAAGTT